GTGGCCTCTCCCGTTGCGGAGCACAGGCTCTGGACGCGCAGGCTCAGCGGCCATGGCTCACGGGCCCAGCCGCTCCACGGCATATGGAATCTTCCCGGGCCGGGGCACGAACCCGTGTCCCCTGCATCGGCAGGCAGACTCTCAACCACTGCGCCACCAGGGAAGCCCCAGATCCATTCTTATTGAAGATTTTCCTTAATCTCCCTGACCTCAATTTCCTTATCCTTACAGTGGGAGTAATAATAGGATATACTTCATAGGGATATTGAAATAAGACTTTTTTCAGGCACAGGGCTCAATAAATGTTTGCTACCTAAAATGGGACGGTTGGGCAAAAGAAGCAATATATATGAAAACATTAACTTTCTATAACTTAGGTAAAATCTGCCGGAAATCATTTTGAAGATTAAAACTAGATAAACTTGTCAATGAAAGAAGGTATGTAATAAAAAGGTCAAGGTTACAGAGGGAAATTCAGGTTGATCTAGAAGTTGGAATCTGTACTTTTAAAGTCAAACTTATTGAGGTATAATTTAAATACAGTAACATACACCCTTCTTAGGTGTGCAGTTTTGAGTTTTGACAAATATGTACAACCATGTATCCACCGCTGCAATCAAGATATAGAATGTTTTCATCACCACCCAAAAGTTCTCCCATGTCCTTTGTAGGCAATCCTTTCCTCTCACCCAGGATCTGGCAACCACTGATCTGATTTCTGTCCCTACAGTGTTGCCTTTTCCAGAATGTCACCTAAGTGGAATCTATGCATTTTTGAGAAAACATATTGTCAACCTTTTTTAAACCCTTTTCAAAAAACATTTTGAGAAATCATTTTTATGTGATGATTCTTGGTGCACTGGACGTTGCTGGTCATTCATAGGTGAATTCCATTTAACTGCAGTGACATGCCTTCGTTTCTAGGCAGGTTGAACAAACTCTCCTGCTACTGTGGATTCTCCAAGCTGAAGTCATCTCTCCATGGCTAGCCCCCACATTCTCTTCCTTTCTTTTTCCACTGAAAAACATGATAAATAATGGATAACAGAAATGAATTTGGGCTCAGTGAAGTAGAGATTGAAATAAAAGTCCACTTGGAGCTATGGGTAAGAAACAAGAGGACGTTTGGAAAGTTGTTTTTTTTTTCTTTCAGGATCATGCATGTTCTAATCAAATAAGAACATTTCTTATTGTAAAGAGAGCTGGGGAAGACCAGACCAGTGGAACATAAGAACCAAGAGTAAAGTGTCCTCTGAAGTAAGCAACTGTTGTCATAAACAAAGTGACTCAACTCTCGTGATCAAGTGGCACATGGTAACTGCTAGCCCTCGTAGGGGATGGTTGTGTGCACTTACTGTCAGGCCTGGAGTAGCTGGCACTGTGCCCCTGGCAGAACAGGGCGGAGTAGGACCCTTGGAGGACACGCCAATAGGTCTGGAGACAGATTCCAAACAACACTTGCTGCTCATGTGAACTTACATAAATCACAACCAACTGTCTTTCCCTTTCTTTTTCCTATTTTCTA